ATTACCTGCACACCGGAAATTGCCTCTAGCAACGAACTTTTTCCAGCGGATTGGTTACCACAAAAAACAATTGTAGGCAAGTTAACAGCAAACTGTGCACCGATACGACGCAACTGATTTAAAATTTCCAAATATTTCGATGCTTTCTTTGCATAGGGACTTTCGGAAATGGTTTTCGTCTGGGCCATTTACGCAATTTAACGATTTAACGGAAAGAAAGATAATTTTTGAAGAAACAATCAAATCTTCAAACCCTATTTCTGTTTTTGATGCCCAAGCAAAACCCATTACTATATTTAATTATGACATCATTGTTTTTTTTTTTGCCGGAGAAAACATAAATCTGTATTTTTTAGGAATCGCGATTTACAGAGTATTATTTTATATTAATTAAAGATAATTGTATATAATAATAAATAAAAATCTTTGTTTCCAATTTAAGGTCATATCAAGTTTAATGGCTGATATTTGGTTTTTGTTTCCAATTTAAGGTTCATTTATGTGATATTTGGTTTTTGTTTCCAATTTAAGGTCACATCAAGTGCAAAATAGTTTCCTAACAGATTAGATAGATAATCAGCTCAATGGATTTCACTTTCCCGAAAAAAAACCATCTTTACGCTCGTATTTTTACCCCGAAAAATGTCAAATTTTCGCTTTCCCTATTGTTATGAAATATAAAAAACCGAGGGAGCAACATTGTAAAATGGCAACGCAATAGTAATGTAAACATAGGAAAGCAGAACGGACAATGATTATAGCATTGTGATAATTTAAGAGTTTCTAATAATTTAAAAGTAAACTAATAATTTAAAAGTAAATCAGATACAGTGTATAACATAGAGTTTGTTACTACTACCATTGACAAAGATAATAATTAAGAAAATATTAAAAAAATGAGAGAAAATTACAATATAATTGTGGACGAAACAATATAGCGATATTAACTTTACATAAAATCCATCTTTTTATCGTTTCAAGTAAAATTTTCAATGCATGCTACTTCTTAGTTTTAACTGTGTGTGATGGTATGGTCTACGTCATATAAACGCGTGAATTCCGGACAAGTAAACATTGTTGTATATGCATACTGAATTCAAGGATAGTTCCTATAAAGTTTTGTAATTATGTCATAGTTACGAAACTTTATTTAAAATAGTTTCAATTGTGAAAATTTACTTTATTCGTGTCTGTACTCTTTATCATTGCCATGCCTAAAAAACGCGAAGCCGTCTCCGAAGAATCTTTCGAAAAACCAAAGGACATTGATCAAGAAGGCGAAGAACAGTACGATGAGGAGATAACTGAACAAGTTTTCTTACTGATATCAGAACTCGAGGTAATAGAATAATCATTTGATCTCGCTGCCACCTGTATATCTATGTTCGTGACGTCTATCCCATAAATGCACAGAATACTAAATCAATTCTTCGGATGTAAAAAAGCTTATCGAGAACGGATATACTACTGTACAATCTGTTGCTTTCTCTCCTAAAA